AGTATAACTTGGCACACAAGTAGACTACACTAAGATACTTAATTCTGTATATCGGTTTTTGATTTCGATGAACTGTGTTGCCGTGGTTACAAAGAATAGAAATTTTATGAAATACTTTTAAAATTCTACTCCTCGTATATTTTTGGTCTGATTTCAATATAACTTGGCTCAAAAGTAGACTACACTCAGATACATAATTCTGTGTATCGGCTTTTGATTTCGATGAACGGTGTTGCCGTGGTTACCAAAATAAGAGAAATTTCTGTGAAATACTTTAAAAATGCTAGTCTTCTTACAGTTTTGGTCTGATTTCAATACTATAGTATAACTTGGCACACCAGTAGGCTACACTCAGATACATAATTCTATTTTTCAGTTTTTGATTTCCTTTAACAGTGTTGCCGTGGTTACTAAAAATGGAAATTTCTAAAATTATTTTAAAATACTACTCCTCTTACAGTTTTGGTCTGATTTCAATATAACTTGGCACACAAGTAGACTAGCCTAAGATACATAATTCTGTATATCGGTTTGAAAGGTGTTGCCGTCGTTACTAAAAATAGAAATTTCTGTGATATACTTTTAAAATGCTACTCCTCTTACAGTTTTGGTCGGATTTCAATATGTCTTGGCACACAAGTATCTGTTTTTGATTTCGATGAACGGTGTTTCCGTGATTACTAAAAATAGAAATTTCTGTGAAATACTTAAATCCCATTTTTGTGAAACTTTTAATGAAAAATTTAACTTTCATTTTACTTATTAAAATAGGACTTGAATTGTACGTAATTTTCAATGTTTGTTTGTATCATCTGTCCTTAAATTATATTTCACTGGGGGGAAAATTAACACTGGGGGAAATCGCACTCTATAACTACTATACAGAGTAGGACCCCCCCCCCCCCCGGAAAATTGACTCTGGTGTGGGATTTCCGCAGGGGAAATCCTACTCTAGAGCCAGTTTTCCTGGGGAGAAAATCCTACTCTAGAGGCAGTTTTTCCGAGGTGAAAGATTTTAGGGTGGAAGCCTACTCTACAAGACCGGTACATTTAACTGTCGAGCTGAAGGCCACAGAAAGTGTTTTCCTCTTTTTTCATGCATAAGATTTTGATTTTTGAAATTAGATATCTTTTCTATAAAAGACTTGTAACTTATGTAAATAATCTGGATTAAAAGTTTAAAATGGAGTGATTTTCATTTGTAGTAGTTGTATGTTTTTTACTTATTTCTGTAAAAAATAAATAAATAAATATCCTATAGTATAATATTTTTCCATGGGTTAAAACCCCATTACAAAAACAAGTGCCCGTGATTTACTAGTAAAACTACATGTATTTGAAATGCAATTCGTATTATTTTTCGCTGGTGTAAATTGAACTTCTATATTTGTACATAATATGAGATAAAAATAATTCTTTATAAATTACCCATTTCTTTGTCTCATCAACGAGATCTTGTAAAGGTAATTGAAATTCTACCCGAGGAAGATAACTTTCACACCACTGTTTTTCAATAAATTGGTCATATTGCTTCGTAAGTGAAGAGTGCATGCTTTTGATATTCAGATCTAAATGACGTGCGTTCGAAAATCGGAATTCATATCGCTTTCGCTACTTAATTTACTTTCTGTCAGAAGACTATTATATCACGTTTATAATCACAGGTACTTGTGGACAGGAACCCCCCCCCCCCACCCCCACCCCCTCATATACACCCCTGGTCAAAATATTTTTTTTTCTTTTTTTGTCATGAATTATGTTTCTAGTACTTATTTACAACGTATTCCATATGAAAAATCCAAAAAATAACATCGATTTAACGATTTACTTAAAAAGTCATACCCTGGTATTATCTATTTTATAATACCAGGGTATGACTTTTTAAGTAAATCGTTAAATCGATGTTATTTTTTTTTATTTTTCATATGGAATACGTTGTAAATAAGTACTAGAAACATAATTCATGAGAAAAAAAAAAGAAAAAAAATATTTTGACCAGGGGTGTATATGAGGGGGGGGGTTCCTGTCCACAAGTACCCGTGGTTTATAATGAGTTCAGTACTTACATTTAAAGGGCTCTAAACACTGCTTGAGTCGCCCAAGAGGCGCAGTGGTAAGAGTCGCGAAGTAGAGAGTTGATCCTTACGTCGCTGGTTCGGATCTTACTTTGGGACGTGGAGACCGGTCCTTCATATTAGACCGTATAAACCGAGGTCCTGTGTCGCAGTAGGTGCTGGCACGAATGCCAAGTATAGATCTCTAGGAGTACATGTTCGGTTATGATCAGTATGAGCCCCAAAAATCAAAGTTGACGGAGTTCTTAAAGGGGGGGACAAAGTATTGTACATTTTTATAAGCCATGACGCCATGTTATGAATGACGTCCTAAAATTGACGTAAATTCAAAATTTCCATGAAGTAAAGGGGTGCTTACTATACAAGAGTAGATCTAAATAAGCTACTCTTTTTTATGATGCGCAAAGTACATAAAACTCACGTAGCATAAGCTGTCAGGTCACTGTTATTACGTGAATCGCGGATATGAGATAACATACATATGTATCTTAAAATTAAAACTAGCGATGAAAAAAAATGAGTTTATGTAAGAAGATTTTAACATTCTTATTAATTTAATTTAAACAATATCTTATTCACAGGTGTAAACGTATTAACCTATTTTTGCCCTCGCTCTAACATTCTCATTCAATTGACAAAGAAGAATTACTAAAAAAAAAATTGCTTTTTTGGAAAATGGAAAATGTAAAAATCATTTATTCCGAATCATCTTTAATTATGTAATGCATTGGTTTGTTCATAATAAAAAAGTAATGATGTTAAAAAAAAGACCAAAAATTTTGCAAAATTATTTGACTAAGATAACAATATTTTTATGATTACACAACAAAATTAATTTTTACAGTCAAAGGATGGACTTGCAAAATTGAACAAATTTCAAATTAATGAAGAGTACGAACATTGTAATATTTTTTTTGTATATCGCATGCTCGCTATCTATCGTTTTAATTGTGAGGTTTTATTATGAATTGAATTTTATATACAAAACTTTAATGGAACAAAGTCAGTTAAATTTATCAAATTTTTTGAGATCTTTGAAAGTTCGTTATAAAAGATGTAAATTTCATTATATTTAACCTCAACGGGACTCAAAATCAGTTCGCTATATCCGTAAATTCGTTATATCAGAGTTTGTTATAACAGTAAAAGAACGAGGGCGCTTTTGATTGGCATTCGGCAGGAATTTGGGCGTGCTTGAAAAGTGAAAAATTTATCGACATGTCTCATGAAATTTTAACATTATTTTTATTTATCGGGTCCCTGTGCAACAGGAGGGGACAATATTTTCCCGAAATTGAGCTTTGATTTGCTAAAAAATAACATGAAAAATGGCCAGATCAGACATTTGGTATAATATGGTATATTTTTACACACGTTTTTCTAAAATTTTTCTATCTCTGGGTCTTCTCTCCATGATTTTTAAACGTTATTTGTGTGTATTTTTATTCAAAGAAACGAATACACATTTTTAAAAAATGGAGAGAAGACCCAGAGACCACGAAAAATGAACTTTTCCCCAAAAAATCCACATGTGTGAATGTGGTACTTCTTTGTCCTTTTAAAATCATCTGTATATGTGTAACGGTGATAGCTCAGTATGTTGCGCTACCTGTTCAGTGCACTGAAAGCGAAAAGTTTTTGGTTCGAGCCTTACATGGGGCGTTAATTTTTTTTTCATGCAAACCATTTATTTTGTCAGTTTCGTTTCATGTACTGATGTATTAAAATTTTGAATTAGATCTATAAATTTTGGTTCAGTTTGGTTCTCTAGCGAAATCAATTCCAATCTTCTATGATTCTCTAATTATATGTACACGTATCATGCATATATATGCACTAAATATTTAGGTGTTTATGTTTTGTGAAACATTACTACATGTATGTTATAGTACCCCCTAACATAATAAACATAAATGTTACCATCTGACAAGGTCTTTCAAACTAAATGGGGAAAAAACCTATGGACGTGTTCGTAAAATCTGACCAGCTATGTTTAGCCAACCATATATATTTATAAAAGTTATGGTAAAACACGTGTGTTTGTTATGTATGCAGATTAAGTCCATCGGTAAAGGAAATCGATTGGTTGTTTATTTGTTTACGGGTGAATAGGTTGAGTCCGTGCCACGCGTGACTCAGTCACGTATAAGGTAGATTTTCGGGTGTTTTAAGTTATTCGAAGTTCGCTGCTACATTGCAACAGACTTATGTTCGCTAAGATCGGAGATAGAAATCAGTCTATTCTAGACGAGACTAGCTTCACGCAGAAACAGTTGCTGATTATGCACAAACAGAGCCGAGATTACAGGCATCTCTGACACGTTTGAACTCCATGTGGGGGGAAAATTGGCACATTTGAAGCTGCAGGTACAAACTGGTAATTTCTTTTTTGCGACTTTCTCAAAGAAAGAACGAAAGTATAAAAATAGCATTTGAATTTTAAACACTGTTTATTCGATTATTTACGATAATGTAAAGGGGACCATATAAGCACCCTCTGTTTTTCACATTAAGGCAACAAAATTCATTCTGTTAATTGTAATTTCTGAGGGCTTGAGTGATTGAAACCTTTGTCAACGTCTCATCTTCTGCCAGTGTTGTTTCTTTCATTATTACTAAGCTTCATAGACCTTAGGACTACATGTATGTAAGCTACGGCTTCGACCCTAACAGCAGATAGAGGCACACGCAGAACAGAGAATCTGGACAGGTAAGCATTTGGACACAGATTAATGTCCGCTTTTCAGCTTGAATTTAGCTATGTAAAAAAAAAAAAAATAAATAAAAACATGTGTAACTTGAGAATTAGTATAGTTCTGGTAAAGTCACGGTAGTAATTAATTCACGTACTTACCTGATACATGTATATATAAATTTATATCTATATAATGATGGTTGGATATTGGTAGCAATTATGAACAAAGTTCCGATGTTTCTAATTCATAGTTACGAGACACACTCTTTTGGAAACTACATGTATTTGAATGTCATGATATGGTTCGAACAGTTCTAAAATTTTACAATTCTACGTTGTACTGTGACACATTGATGCATAGAACTGCATATAGCTAGTTCATTATTCTGAAGCTGTTTTCAAATCTTGGAAATAATGTAATTGAATATATAGTTCCTGATATTAACTCGAAAAATGATGAAACATCGTTTTATTTTAGTTAAAATTTTTATACAATAAAACTTTTGTTTAGTCACAGTGGTTTTTATGCTCCTATTTCTGGACGTTGTTTAATACCTAGAAATGAAGAACATAAGATAAATGTATATTATTGATGCTCCATAATTTGTATATTATATAATCCGATGCTGATAAATATGATAGCCTGATTCAGTTCAGATCATTCTGTTTAAGAGTATTGGTTTAAGAGAGTGTTTAAGATAGCCTTCATTATGCATCTTGCATCACCAAATATAGAGTTGTCTATCTGTTATGAAGAAAATACGACTCAAGAGTTGTTATCATGATGATCTTTGCAAGACCTAGTGTTACATGTATTGATGTAATACAGACAAGGCCCTTTTCAAGTTCTGTAAGTAGCTTGGAGAAGCTGGCATGGTTTGAGATGTAATTTAATACAGACAAGGCCCTTTTCAAGTTATATAAGTAACTTGGAGAAGCTGGCATGGTATAAGATGTAGTTTGATACAGACAAGGCCCTTTTCAAGTTCTGTAAGTAGTTTGAAGAAGCTGGCATGGTCTGAGATGTAGTATGATGCAGACAAGTCCCTTTTCAAGTTCTGTAAGTAGTTTGAAGAAACTGGCATGGTCGGAGATGTAGTATGATGCAGACAAGGCCCTTTTCAAGTTCTGTAAGTAGCTTGGAGAAGCTGGCATGGTCTGAGATGTTTTTTGACACAGAGAAGACCATTTAAAATTCAGTAAATAGCTTGAAGAAGCTGGCATGGTTTTAGAAGTAGTTTGATACAGACAAAACCATATAAAATTCAGTTCGTAGCTTGAAGAAGCTGGCATGGTTTGAGATGTAGTTTGATACAGACAAGGCCCTTTTCAAGTTTTGTAAGTAGCTTGAAGAAGCTGGCATGGTCTGAGATGTAGTATGATACAGACAAGGTCCTTTTCAAGTTCTGTAAGTAGCTTGGAGGAACTGGCATGGTTTGAGATGTAGTTTGACACAGACAAGACCATTTAAAATTCAGTAAATAGCTTGAAGAAGCTGGCATGGTTTTAGAAGTAGTTTGATACAGACAAGGCCCTTTTCAAGTTCTGTAAGTTGCTTAAAGAAGCTGGCATGGTTTGAGATGTAGTTTGATACAGACAAGACCCTTTTCAAGTTCTGTAAGTAGCTTGAAGAAGCTGGCATGGTCTGAGATGTAGTATGATGCAGACAGGGTCCTTTTCAAGTTCTGTAAGTAGCTTGGAGAAGCTGACATGGTTTGAGATGTAGTTTGATACAGACAAGACCATTTAAAATTCAGTAAATAGCTTGAAGAAGCTGGCATGGTTTTAGAAGTAGTTTGATACAGACAAAACCATATAAAATTCAGTTCGTAGCTTGAAGAAGCTGGCATGGTTTGAGATGTAGTATGATGCAGGCAAGACCCTTTCAAATTCTTGAAGTAGCTTACATGAAGCTGGAATGGTTCATCATGTACATCGTTCATACAATTATGTTTTGAAATTTTTAACTTTTTGACTAAGTTAGCAGTTTTGGAATGTAGTATTTACTAGTATATTTAGCCAAAGCCCTTTACAAGACCTACAAGTATCTTGATGAAGCTGGAAAAGTCCGAGAGGTATTGTTATGCAAACACTTCTTTTTTTTGGATTTGTAAGTATTTTCGAAGTTGGCATGACCTTAAATATAGTTGCCTTCTTGTCTTTTCAAGGTGTGTAAAATTATAGTATCTAATTGAAGCAGGAAACTCGTTTTATCGATAAATACAAGTACACAAACTTCAAAAGATATGCAAAAGTATAGTGCAATTTGTTTGAGATGTATTTGCAGACATAATATTTAAAATTTCAATTGACAAAGCGAAACTACTGAACGTACGTATTTATTTTTTAATAGCTTAACTACTAATATAACATTGTCTTGTTTATTCTGTAAAGGAGGCCAAATTTGTAACGGTGCTTCTAATAGGCACAAACTATGTGGGATCACAATATGATTTTGAAATTTTTGGAGCAAAGTTTTTTTCAGATATCTTTAGTCAGGACAGACGGACCGGATGTTTGCAAAACTTTCATTAAAGAATTTGTCTGAAGACTTCCAAAGCTGCGTTTAAATTCAAGATTCGGACAAATCACCTCTAGTCAAAACCAAAGAGGAATAATGTTTACATTCTGGTAGGTGTAGTTCAGTTCATTTGTCCTATTGCTAATAACCAAGAGATGTAAAGAAAAGGTTAATGATAGTGTTTGATCAGATGAGTATAATTTATGATTGATTTAAATTTATTTCGTATTGTAAAAGTTATTCTTATGTACCTGGGATTCACAATCATGTACAAGAAACATAGAAATTCTGAATGCACTCAAACTTATAAGTTTATATACGTAATTTCATTCTTCATAGTGTTTTAACGGGGTTGCTATCTCAACTGCAAATGCTGTTATGTATGATTCACTGATAAGAATCAACGTAGAAGGCTTTTTGAGTTCATCTGAAGACGTTATGGTAAAAAGAAAAGAATACTCTTCAGTCGGGAAGGATAATTCTTTAATTTATTGTTTTATTCAAAAAGTCATGAAAGTCTCAAAAGGAAGCTTGAAATTGAATCTTTATAAACAACATATTGCATTTCATGTATCTTAAGGTTCATTGATACTCTGATAAGAGAGATAACTCTGAATGACATAAATGTCTAATATTCCTTTATAGATTTGCAAGTTGAAGTGTCTTTTTGTGCAATTGCTTGTATTCTACTTATAAATATAATTCTTTTTTGGAAAGTCATTTAGGTTCAAGCAACATTTTATACGAGTGAGTAGATGGTTTATGAATCTTAATGTAATTGATAGTTCTTTGAACATATTTATAAAAATGTCCTCGATCTAGCTTTAAATACCAATTTTTAAAAAAAAAGTTTGATATGAATTTATAATTGATTTATGAAGTTTTTGCATTCATAGCAAACGCTTTATAAACTATGCATAATAATAAATGTGCAGTAAATAGAAGAAATTAAAGTACCACAGAATTCAAGTATAAAAATCTGCAGTTTTCTTCAAATGCTTGAAAACCTATAACATTTAACATAGATATAATTGTTGCAAAAAATTGTCGTTTGGAAAATGCATGTTATTTGGTGAATTCGTTTGCACTCCTAAAAGTTATTATATTTTCTATTTTCCTATATAATATTATTAACTTTCCATTATGAACTTTGAAGAATGAATGTTGGTAAATACGCATCACTTTGAGAATCCACAGACATTTTTATGATAATTTTCAATTATTCAAGGCCTTGTTTAAAAAAAAAAGGATTACCTTGAAGTCTTGATATCTAGGGGTGGGGTCATATACGTTTTAATAGTTTTATTTCTATGCTTTCTTTATCGTCGAAGTCTGTTGCACTCGCGCATGCGAGCTCATCCTATATAAAGTGTTTTTGAGTTTTTATTTATAAATATTTTATGTTCGTTTGAACTGGTGAATTAGAACATAAATATATTTATAAAAGTTATGGTAAAACACGTGTGTTTGTTATGTATGCAGATTAAGTCCATCGGTAAAGGAAATCGATTGGTTGTTTATTTGTTTACGGGTGAATAGGTTGAGTCCGTGCCACGCGTGACTCAGTCACGTATAAGGTAGATTTTCGGGTGTTTTAAGTTATTCGAAGTTCGCTGCTACATTGCAACAGACTTATCCCCCGCCCCACCCACCCCTTCCAGTATGATCGTTATTTAGTACATGTTAAAATGTTCGTTTTAATGTTGACTGTCGCTTTATTTGAACCTTTTTCTTTTGTAGAATGATATGGAATTCAGAAGTTAAACTAAAGACTGTGCTTTGTATACTGTATACACTTCATTAAAGTCTGTTGCTCTCGCGCATGCGAGCTCATCCTATATAAAGTGTTTTTGAGTTTTATTTATAAATAATTTATGTTCGTTTGAACTGGTGAATTTAGAACATAAATCATGGACATTTAAACCATAAATGTTTCGTACAAATGATTCCTGCAGATCACACGCCAAATGCGCCCATCTTCTTTTACAAAGATTTGTTAAGAATTTTGCCGGGAACCCAGAAAAACTTCGCTCTATCCATGAATTCGCTATATCCGTGTTCGTACTAAACGAGTTTTACTGTAAATGTATCATTCGAAAGGGCAAACCTTTACATGATATAAACTTGAAACTTACTTCATTTTTTCAATCTTTGCCAAAACTTTTTGAATTAATGTTGTGGTTGGCAAGGGAACAAAGTTTTAAGTTAAAAGGAAGCATCAGATAACAATTCATGTTTCTATATTTGAGAATAACTTTCTTCTAACAAGATGTCAATAGGCGATGCATCATCGATTTGGGAAGAAATCAATCAATAAAGTTTTTAATAGGGATCATAATCTCGAATCTTTAGGCTAAAAATATATAAGATAATTAAGATAAAACATTACCAGAACTCATGCTTCATGGTCAATTGAAACAATACAAATGAGGTAGCAAAGTTGACACGGATCTCTGATATTACAAGAATTGGATCAAGACCGAAGGAGAAGTGTGTACCCTGTCGAACCATTAGACTTTCCTTTTGGTCATTGTCATGTTCGAGCAATCAGAAACATACATAAACATTTCAACGTGAAAATTATGAAGTAAGAATTTCTTAGAAAAATCTCGGACAACTACTTCCGATTTTCCTTTAGATTGCATTTGCTGCCAATATTAATTTCGGTCTCTCTGTCCGTCCGTCTGTCTTTGTGTCTGTTCCCAAAAAGATACATCGAGAAGTCTTTGAGCCCGTATACTACTATGATTTTTTCCTTAACAACTTCCTATGGTCTTAAGAAGACCCTTATTGACTTTGAGGTCAAAGCGTCAGAGGTCAAAGTCAAAAATCCGTAAATTCTGTATGTTTGACCGCTTTTTTCCAAAGCTATATCTCTAGAAGCCTTATTTCGTATATTTCGTTGCTTTTATTAGGGCTTTTCGACTTTTGTCGAAAAGACCTATTGTTTTCGTCTTGTTTATTATTATTATTATTATTATACTTAGCAATTCTTTTGCTCAGATTTTCCGGAGTACCTTTAAAAGTAGGTATTTTATTTTATAACTATTAGATAGCTTATATAAAAATGTCCTGTCTGTAATGTTTTGTACTTCCGGTCATGTCACTTCCGGTTTCTACAAAGGGAAAACTAAAATTTCTAAAGAAGCCGAAAACATTTTTAATTTCAATGTGTAGACTCCCAAATTTAAGATTTGAATTTTAGAGACCTAGTCCTATAAAAATGTGCGCGTATGTGATTTTTGACCACAAATACTTTTGGAGATATAAGACTTCAAACATTGAAGAAGGGGGGAGGAAATTCTTGAAAGTCAAAATAACGTCATAAAAATTATTTTGAGGATGTAAATATGTTTAAACTAATCAGTAGGACATATCCTGTAAGTTTCATATCAATCAGACCTGAACTTCCGGTTTTATGGGTCTTTTAATTTTTATGTTAAAATGAAATCAGTTATGTAACAGTATCTCTAAAAGTGATTATGATTTTCTTGTAATATTTTGTATACAGAATGACTCTGATACTCTTCCGACTTCATAAGTTGATGAAATCAAAAATTTGGAAAATAAGGGATTTCTAGGGGCCAACATTAAAAACAGACCTTTGCCTGTAACTTTTTTATTTCTCAATGAATTTTCAAACAGTTTTCGGATTTGAGTTTAGCATAAAGAGTACAATCTAAAAAATATGGTCCGTGGGGTCACTTTTTGACCCCTTATAGGAGTTTTAGAGACCTGAAATATTGTATTTTTAAGTCTTTTCATAAAATGATAGTGTAAGGGTTATCTTTCTTTGTCAACCTGTATGGAGTCTAATATGCTCTCTATGTTTCAATTTTGATATGCATATGAAGAGTACTTCCGGTTTTATGAGTACCTTAAAATTGTCTATGGAGATTTCAATGTTAAATATGAAATGATACAATGTTCCATATCTCAAAAGGGAAGTAAGCAATTCTTGTGATATTTCACATGATTAATAACTCTATCATTGTCTCCAGTTGGGAAGGTCATGAAAAGAAAAATCCCTTAAATAGAAAGGACTTTTGGGGTCAGTACAGAAAACAGTCTTTTCTCTGTAACTTTTTTATTTCTCAACCAATATCCAAACTAATTTTGGTTTTGCATTAAGCATAAAGAGTGCAGTTTAAAAATTATTGGCCGTGGGGTCACTTTTTGACCCCTTATATGAGTTTTAGTGGATTGAAAAACCGTTCATTTTCGTATGTTTTAAATATTTATGAAAGAGTTATGTTTCTTTGAGTAGACACTGGTGGACAAGGAGAATCGCTATGTTTTCATTTCACTATTGATCTCAAAATAACTTTTGCGATATTGTATTATTTGAGTTTTTTAAAATATTTAATTTAAGATTGTTCTTTTCAAGGGGTCGAAAAGCCCTCCGTTTTTGTTGGACGACAAAAAGATCTAGTTATTATTATTATACTTAGCAATTCTTTTGCTCAGATTTTCAGGAGTAACTTTAAAAGTAGGTATTTTATTTTATAACTACTAAATAGCTTATATAAAAGTATCCTGTCTGTAATGTTTTATACTTCCGGTCTTGTCACTTCCGGTTTCTACAAAGGGAAAACTGAAATTTCTAAAGAAGCCAGAAACATTTTTAATTTCAGTGTCTAGACTCCTAAATTTAAGATATGAATTCTAGAGACCTAATCCTAAAACAAAGTGCGCGTATGTGATTTTTTACCACAAATACTTTTCAAGATATAAGACTTCAAACATTGAAGAAGGGGAAAGGAAATTTTTGAAAGTCAGAATAATGTTACAAAAATTATTTTGAGGATAAGAATATGTTTAAACTAATAAGTAAAACATATTCTGTAAGTTTCATATCAATCAGATCTGAACTTTCGGTTTTATGGGTCATTTAATTTTTATGTTAGAATGAAATCAGTTATGTAACAGTATCTTTAAAAGTAATTATGATTTTCTTGTCATATTTTGTATACAGAATGACTCTGATACTGTTCCAACTTCATTAGATTATGAAATCAAAATTTTTGAAAATAAAGGATTTCTAGGGGCCAATCATTTAAAACAGACCTTTGCCTGTAACTTTTTTATTTCTCAATGAATTTTCCAACAGTTTTCGGATTTGAGTTTAGCATAAAGAGAACAATCTAAAAAATATGGTCCGTGGGGTCACTTTTTGACCCCTTATAGGAGTTTTAGAGACGTGAAATATTGTATTTTTAAGTCTTTTAAAAAAATGATGATGTAAGAGTTATCGCTCTTTGTTGACCTGTTTGGAGTCTAATATGCTCTCTACGTTTTAATTTTGGTATGCACATAAAGAGTACTTCCGGTTTTATGAGTGGCTTAAAATTGCCTATGGAGATTTCTGTGTTAAATTCGAAATCATGATTGTTCCATTATCTCAAAAGGTAGGCAAGCAATTCTCTTTAAATTTCATATGAATATTGACTCTAGCATTGTCTCCAGGTTCTAAGGTCATGAAAATAAAAAACCCTAATATAGAAAGGATTTTAGGGGTCAGTACAGAAAACGGCTTTTCCTCTGTAACATTTTTAATTCTCAACCAATCTTCAAACTAATTTTGTTATTACAACAAGCATAAAGATTACAATTTAAAAATTATGGGCCGTGGGGTCACTTTTTGACCTCTTATAGGAGTTTTAGTGGATTGAAAAACAGTACATTTTCGTATGTGTTTCAAAACCACGAAAGAGTTATGTCTCTTTGTGTAGACACTGATGTACAAATAGAATTGTTATGTTTCCAATTAAATATTGATCTCAAAAGAACTTTTGCAATATTGTATTGTATGATTTTTTATTGTAAGATATTGATTTTTCTTTTAAGATTCTTTATTGTAAGGGGTCGAAAAGCCCTCCGTTTTTGTTGAACGACAAAAAGATCTAGTTATGTTTGTTACTGTTCTTGGTTGTCACCTTTTTGTTCTTTACTACTCACTCCGGTATTAATGGTCAAAACAATTTCTGTGATTATTCTCTCAGAATCTCATTTCCTACCGACTATAAGCGCACACAAAATATTATGCATTTTTTATCTTTAATCTATGGCTTCTATACCATACTTTCAGAACAGGATTAATTAAGTCAAGATTTTTAATTTGAATACTCTATTTTTAATTTAATACACAGTCGGTCCGGTTCCATTTGTTCTATTTTAAGTCTCATCTCTGTGCTTCTCCTGATCTGAATTTTGCTGTTCCATTCCCTTGTCGGTGTGATTGCAATGTCAAAAAAATTTCTGAAGAAAAGTAAAGTCGTTCCTTTCACACTTGAATTCTCGTTCTTCTCTAGGCCTGCATTGAACGCAACATTGTGTTGCGTATATCAAATTGAAAGCGAACTCTTCTATATGACTTGATAATCAATTCAAAGCTCTTCAAATATTCGGTTTAAAGTCATCATTTCGTAAGTTCTACTGTCAATTCAATAACCTTGTCAACAAATACAATTTATCATTGAGTCAAACGCTGATTGACATTTTTCCCCTGTTTTTCCCGATCATGGCAAGGAGCATCCATGGCACCTGTTGAAGAACATCAAGAAATCGAATGAACAAAAAAGGTGATATAAACGCATGATATACAGCTTATACCGACGTATGCTAATCAGTTGTAATAATAACATAGAAAGGCTATCAACGATTGGATATGCAAAGAACTTTAATATTGCTTGACAATATATTCATTGCTTGAAAACATATTTGTCTTTGGAGAGATATACAACAACAGATGTATTTGTGAAACGATAATGCCCATGTATGAAACTTATGTTGAATTTAAGGTTAGAATTTGTTGAATGCAAGTCAAACGCCAAGGTCAAGGGATCATAAAAAATATTGATATTCAAAGAAGACTTGTCTTTAAGCATATTGAATAGT